TTTGAGCTGTTTTTTGGGGGGGTTTGAGGGAGTGGGTGAGTATCCATCAGTGTATCGTGTGTGTTGGCCACACAGAAAACTGATTGATTGTAATATTAAAATCTATGAAACCAAATAATTTAGGGATTCAGTTGGGACGGAGTACGTGGGAGAAGTGTGTAAAGATTTAAAGAGAGAGGGGATGTAAACACAGAGAATTTTTATAGAAGAGCTGGGGAGAAAATCAGCTTCAGTGAGCAGCCAGCAGGGAAGGATCAGCCTAATGAGGAATTATAGTGTAGACCGAATGAAAATCAGCAATGAGTCTGGAGGAATTGAGAAGACACTGCACAAACTACGCACATAACCACTATTATCGCAAGGGTAACACAAGATTAAGATTCATAGTTTTATAGTTTTTGCCCATAAAATACAGTCAATTCACTTCACAGTATATTCTTTGAAGCGCTTTGAGGCGTCTCAACGATATGATAAGGCAAGGATTAATATTATATGTTTTTGCAGTCCCATATTTACAGAAGACAGACAGTATTTCCCCTTTTCCCAAAGTTAAACTACATAATCCTTTTTTTGTAATTTGTCACACTTTTTCTCCTTTGGTCAAGGGTGGGATAGTCACACTATTTCCTCTCTTGGCCACCAGAAAGAGTGGTTGATTGAGGATGTACCATGTTTACCCCCGCACCTCCCACCCTTCACGTCCCCGACAAACATATATTTCTTGATGTTTTAAATAAAGTAAGTAAACCCAATGGAAACATTTAGGGAAAGGCAGTTACATGGGGGGGAAATTCAGAGAGAGTATTAGGTCAGCCGGGTATCTTAACTCAACTGGTAGTTCTCTCTCACCTCTGAGTCAGAGGGTTATGGGTTCAAGCCATGTATCGGGACCCGAAGCTTATCGTCTAGACGGATATTTCAATTCAGTGCTGGGGAAGCGATGCATTGTCAGAGATACTGTCCTTCGGATGAGTCATTAAACTGAACATGTGAGCAATAGAATGACAAACCTTCAAATAGAAATGACATCTGAAAAAGGTTTTCCCAGTAAGAAAATTCCCTGCATCGAAATACCTCAGTTAGATCTGTCTATCTCCACAATGTTTATTGATTCAGAGCTGAACGCAGTTATCTGAAGTGGCTATTTAAACATTCCCATTTCATTTTGTAAGACTTTTTTAAAACTGATTTAACATTACAGTACTTGTCCTTTCTCTCCATTGTTACTTGCTTGGAAAGTTTGTGTTACAGATTATACTGCATCCACCGCAGCTCATACTATTATTTCTGTTTCTATTCAATTGGGTGACATTTGTGGCATTTCAGATTGTGTTCCCCCACACAAATTATTATACATCACTACAAACTGTAAGCCATTGTGTGATTTCCTTTTTATACAACAGCAGGTGTGACCAGTGTTATTGAAGTTTTCATGATGGGAAGATGGTAGAGTGGTTATTCTGAAAGGATGTGATCAAATGGGCCGAAAGGGCTTTTTTATTCAAACCGATCTTGTGATCTTGCCAAACAGGGTGTCACATTCTGTTCTGTATAAAAAAATGAAGGCAATGTTCCTTTAAGTGCCAACAACCAGCCATCACATTTTAACATTTAACAGTGAGTTTAAAAAAAGTAGTGGAAAGCCTGCAGCTATGAAAGCTCAGTGTGTACACACATCAACATAAATAACATGCTCGGATGCTACATTTAACCTTATCAACTAACATTTGTTTAGACAGTTAACAATGACATTCATTTATTTACATTATTATTAGAGATAATTGTGGGTTAAGAGCTTTACAAATTACTGCTGCTTAAGTTTGGGTGCAAAATCAGTAAGAGTAAATTATATGCATCTATTGTCTTGCAGTTTCTTTAAAGGCTTGCTTAATTCATTATTGTTCAATGTTTGCATTGCAAAGAATGCTGGCAAGAAATACTGTCATCTTGAGTATAAGGTGATGGCTTCATGCTAACACAAGACTGGGGACGTGACCAGTGTGAAGGCACAAAGAAATCAACCTCAATTATTGTGAGTGCCAGCACTGTGTACAATTACACAGCATGAGAGCTTGTATGCACCTTTTCAATAGCCGATTGTTTTCAGAGTTGCACGTACTGATTAATACAAAAGAACTAAGCAGTGCTGGCACTGAGATACAGTTTGCAGTTGGCGTGATTTTCTCATGTTGATTTTCCAAGAACGTCTACACGTTACATGCAGTTGTGCTTTTCTGAACAATGAGCACGCATGCAATCATTTTTGTGTCGTGCATTTTTATAGCTGCGTTTCTTAAATTTATCCAGTGTTTTCGTACAATGAGAATGCCACAAATATGGCTTGAAAACATTTCATTCACGTACTGTTTGGGTATTAATTGTCCCATCATTACCACATGTATGAAAATAATGCTTGAGATATGTGCTAAAATATAAAAGAGGTTTCAACAGCAGTATAAGACAGTAAGATGCCGATTCTCTCCTAAAGTATGCAGTCATCGTTAATTATCTCAGCTATGTAGAAGGTCAGTCAGATGTTGCTATGACTGCAAATGTTAAGATACATTAAAATTTTAAATCATTTTTTAAAAAACTACTTTTTATGAAAAAAGTTTGTAAACCATAAAACAATTTTCTGTTTTTCGTGTTTAAAACCATAACTCAATTAATATCAGAGATGGATATATCGACATAGCCAGAAATAATTATTGGTAATTGTGCACTTCAGCAGAGAAATGCTCCATTCACTATTTACATAGGTAATAAAAATAATAATAATCCTTGCGATTGATATAGCGCCGTATCATGTCTAGGAAACGTCTCAAAGCACTTCTCAGGATACACTGTAAAGTGAATTGACTGTATATTTTGTGAGCAAAATGCGGCAGCCAATTACACACAGCAGTGTCCCACAAACAGATGTGGGTTGAGTGACTGAATTTTTTTAAAAAAGGGATTATTACCCCCGGAACAGCGATCCGCCAATCGACTGACAACCAGATTCCTACTTACTGCTAAGTAAACAGAGGCGTGTGGAGTAAGGAATTTGCCCAACGTTTCACCCTGCCCGGGAATCAAACCCAAGTTCTCTCGCTTGCGAAGCGAGTGCTATAACCACTAAACTACAGGATTCCATTAATTAAACATTCTCCAGTCAGATTTTAATGCTTTTGATTTCAATCCTTGTTCTACAAGACACTTGCTTTTATACATTATATATATGTATATTCAATATACTGAGATATAATCTTATTTCTGTATAAGGAAGCAAATTAATAGTGATTTTGAGTGCCGTATTCACACAATTCCTTGTACCGTTTACCGTGTCAAAATTTGAGCAGCATCCGTTTCTTTTTGTGATTCAATAAAATGCATCATCTGCCTGTTGAACTTTGTTTTTGATAACGGCGCTCTCCCTAATGTGAAAGAAAATACAAGCAAAGAGGCCTGCTGTGCTGCGTGCCCAAAGAACGTGTTAAATCAGATTTTTTTGTATGTAAAATACAATGGAGCACTGTAGAGAACACTTTTTCAAATGACTAAGTGTTAAAAAAATTGGCTGCTTTAGGGCATAAAAAGATGATAATCTGGTCTCTTTCCTCCTCTCTCGCTTGTAGACTTTTGCTGTTTTGTATCCCTTTCATTATCTCAGGAAGCATAAACTGTAATAGAATTTACATAAAATTCCTTCTTGTATAGTAGGGCAGGTCCATCACAACTCAGCTGCCCCTCCTAATCCAATAATCTCGAATGTGGTTGGCATGGCAGTTGTCAAACTCAAACAGTAGGGATCTCTTTAGCAAAGAAAAGTATGAATTTGATCTTAAAAAAATGAGCAGAGGTCATTTATTTTACCCAGGATGCTTCCTCATGCTGTGTTTACTTGGGAAATCTAGCAGGAGGCTTTATTAAGCGGTTTCAGAAATCATCTCGAAAACCAATTATCTCGGTTTAGATAAGAAAAAAGCCACAAAAGAGCTTATAGAAATGAAAATGTAAATTCTCAGTGCTGAGTGTCTGTAGGATATCAATAGACCCTGAATCCCTTATGATTACACAAGGAACTCTCGCCAAGCTCTATATCCTTTGTCACCAGGGTACCAACCCCTTGATTGTGTATAAAATAAAAAAGACAGCACTAAATCACTGGGAGTTATCGGTGGGATCAAGGCTCAGCTGTAAATTCGACCACATTGCTGTAGTGTGGAGAGATGACTGGAAATATCTGATTAAAGCATGCATTGCTGCTGAGGTAGCTGTGTTTCCATAGCAATCGTGATGAAATGTGCAAGTTGTGAGATATTTAAATCTATCCCTTTCGTCATTTTTGACAGTCACTTTACAACTGATAGACATATTCCACAATGTTATTGATAAAAGCATACATTTCGTGAAAAAAGTATTAACTTGATTTTCTTCGAGCCCTTTTGTCTGGGAGCAATGCATTGCTTCCAGATGAGTTTCATATCACAAAAGATATAGGCTTATCCTTGGTAAGACCTATAGTGCAAGCAGAAAATGTTTGCCTCTTTATTTCTTTTTCCCAGGGAAGAGCTGACTAAGGCACACACTACCCCCAGTCCTATTTGCATGTTCGTTTTTCAGTCAGAGCTCGCTGCAGGCTTCCTACAGCAGCAGGAACCAGCAGAAAGTACTGCCCTCTTCAGACCTTTGTAATAAATAACAGTTTTGTATCTGCGTTGCTTCAGTGGTTATATGCATTAGTACACAGCTACAAAGAAAACAGTGCAGACTGTTGCCACAGGTTTTTTTTATTATAAGTAAACATCATGAAATTGTTGTCAAGTGTCTTCAAATTGCCCGGAAAAATCACTGTACCTTCAATAATTGACAAATAATTGCATTCTGATGTTTAATGCAGCGCTGTGTGTCTTCTCAGAGCATGCTGCTCTTTTGTTGTGCATTATATATATGAATGTTTTCTAAGTTACAGGCCTCCTTGGCTAATCTTTCTGTTTTTTTCTGATTCTGTTTTGCAGGACTGTTTGATGTTGCAACAGGATGCTGAAATCCACATCTTTTAAATGCGGTAAGTTACGAACCTGTCTTGTTCTCTTTTTCAAAAACAAGTTGTTATGGAAATAAAACCAGCTTTCACTGTTCCGATAATCACAAATGGGTGATTTACTCAGACGTAAAATATATTTTCTTTGTCTTAGTGGAAAAATGTAAAGCAATTATTCCTTAGGATCGTGGATCTCATTTGGGATTTTGGTGTCATGTAAGTTTTGGTTCATTTCATGAGAGTAATATTCATCTTAATTAGCAAAACAATTTATGATCTTTTCTTCCTTCACAAGAGGGAGTGTATCTCCGGGCTCTAATTATCAGCACTAGATTATCCTGACAAATGGAAATATCTTACTGTAGTTTCCGATCACCGTTGTCCACCTTCAGATGGGTAACTTCACAGCTAGGCACATACATGTCGAGTCAGGACAGCATGTCATTGATGAGCGGCCACCCCATCGTATCTGGCACTGCACTGGAACACCACAGGGCACTATGCCAGCTCCAATGCCAGAGTACTGTACATACTGGAGCTGTACACCTACAAATTTCATTGATTAACAATAAACATCACTGATTTGCCTTTGGAAAATATTGCCGCACTTCCCAGATCAGGGCCACTCTCGGCTACAAGCCTTAGAACCAGTTTGTCCTATGCTTCAGAAAATGAAAAGAATACAACACGTTTACTGCTGGTAGTAAAGAGTCTCCTGTCAGGTGCATCCGAATTTGTACGTGTGCTATTATGGCAGCACCCAAGGACCTTTTACAAGCATTACAGAGTGAGTGCAATCAATTGGTTAACACTGATTAAGTTATTCGGTGTATGTTTAGAATGCAGTATATTTTTCTTGTCTAGGCTGAAATAGTTAACTGCAATTCAATTGCTACAATAGGTTTATGGGCTGTGTTTTTAACATGACAGTCAAAGAATGATGCACAATAAATACGTTGTTGCTGTGCTTATTAGCCCAGAGGGACTGTAGTTAAACAAAGAGCCAGCAGTCTTTTAATTGTGTTCAAAGTGACAAAGTATTGTAGTGTTTACAATAACCAGATCATGTTCAAAGTAAAACGTAACTGGAGCACATGGCTGTACAGCACAGCAAATTAGAATAAATGACATGGGCTTGGCAATATCATTGCTGTCTGTTTTATGTCCCAAAGTAACACATCTACAGATAAAACCTGTTAACACTGGGAGACTGGGAGTCTTTCAGTAATGTGATACCGTTCTTCCTTGGCTTATCAGTAGTATTACTGATGTCCTCCTGACGTGAAAGGCGCTCAATAAATGGAATCTTGTTGTTGTTGTTGTTGTTGTATTAAAATCAGAATACGTGATAGCTGGAAGGGGCCTGTAAACAGTGTAGGAAAAGGAATGGACCAGTACAAATTAAGTAGATAAATCTTTCTAGAGTCGGAAGCTTTGAGTAAGATTTGACTATTTTTACACTTTGTTTTCACCCATTTCAAACCACTTAGTACTGTGACATAATCCTCTAGCTGGGAGGTTGGAAATAAGGAGAAGCTGGCCCATCTCCAGCTAGGAGGACGGGAGTGAAGACAGACTTCTGTGCTTGTGCTGTCAGTGGAGTGCTGAATGATAAGCCAGTGGTGAAGGCTTACCCCAAACCAGGAGAATAGGGCAATGGCAGCCCTTTTTGTAACTCTGAGATTAACCCCTGCCTCTTTTGACCGGTACTCCACCTAGTGGCTAAGACAAGATGTGGTGAGAAGCACCCAAATGAGACAGCTGGGTGTTGATGGCCTCCAGGTCGGGGACTCAAGCACTTTCCCATTCGCAATGCCAGACCGTTGTTTTCTAAGAGCTTTGCATCATTTGTCTTTCTTTTTTGTTTCCATCAGTTGCTACAATGGCTCTGGACTTCAGCTGTCTTATTGATTAAATTGTGCGTGTTTATTTTGAACCATGAATGAAGATTGATTTGCTTTCTATGACTGCCTCTATCAACAAGTTCAGATTCTTTAGAAGCAATTTTAAAATGTGTTCGGTTTTTCATACGTATTTGAATAGAACTGAATGCATTTTGCATTTATGTGCAGCCAGCAGCGTATCCATTAACCTCCTGAGGCCTGCAGTAACATTTCCATTCCGAAACACAAAGTATAACGAGATTACAAGTTTGAACTTTTCGCAGTTAACCCTTTGAGGTCCACTCTCGTAATTCCGCAGTCTTGAATGCGTACTTTGGTGAAAGGTTCCAAACAAAGGAAAATTTCTAATTCTGTTTCACCAAAAGCAGTGTTTGTTGTCATGATCACAAGATCGGTTTGGAGTAGTGGAATTATTTTATTGCACTTCCACCGGTGATTACACCATTGTTGGTGGGAGTGAAGCAATGCTATTCCCTCAAAAGGGTCTGAGACACACTGAAGAAAACGTTGATCCATGGTGGCAACATAGATCACTAACTGGAGCCGATACTTTCTGTAAGGTAGTGATCCAAGTGGCTCAGAGGCTTCGTAGAGGCCAAAGAAGTGGTTTAACACTTGTTTCCTCGGAAACTGATATATTAAACGCACAATAACTGGTCTTTCAATGGCAACAACATCTTGCATTTATATAGCACCCCTCACACAGAGTAGTCACCCGTAGCGCTTGAAAGCGCTCATGGAAGAGGCATCCAGCATAGAACTAGTTCATCATCAACATCTCAAAGTACGCTGGGTGCCTCATTTTTTTTTCCTATTGGGTATGTCCACCGTATAAGGCATTATTATGAACCAAGCAAGAGATTGTAATCATTTCATTTTCTGCTGCTTTGGCTTCTGTAGAAAATAGCTCATAACGTAAACCCAGCAGATTCCACATTGATCCTAAGGGACTTAGTGCAGAACTGCTTCCTGAAGCAATTCTGTAGTATAAATGTAACATTCAAAAACTGAGAGATAATCATAATTAAAGCGATAAAAACACTTTTGAGTGTGTGATAGCCCCCAAAAATGTATTCAGTGCTCAAAGGGTTAAAGCAGCGATGACTCAATCGTTTCTTCTGCTGAAAAATCCAAACGAAAGAAATTACGTTTGTTGTGTGATCAACTTGACAACTGCTGCCTGAGTGTTTATGCAGGTGGATGTTAAAAATCCCGTGAAGCTGTAACGAGTTGGGAGATTCTTCCAATCTTGCAGATTGTCCGTTCATTCACTTTATGGTTGTTTGTGAGACTTTGCTGGCACAAATGGCTGCCATGTTTACCTACAAAAACAGCCACTAAGCTTCAGCATAATGTTCTGTTAAGCACTTTGAGATACCTTGAGGTGATAAGGCGCTGTATATAAAAAAACGCAAGTTCTTTCTTCTATTTCATTTGTAATAGCACAGATCTAGATTAGAAACAGCAAGACACATGCACATGTCGGTGACCTTCACTTATCTCCTGTTGGCTCAACAATTCGCAGGAACCACACTGGAAGAATTGGAGGTCAATGCTCATGTGTACAGACTGCGAGGTTTTCAATCTCGGATCGTGTCATTCAAAACCGAATATCTTCAGACAGGATTGAGTTTGAAAGTTGTTTCATAAGTGGACAAACTTCTTTAATTAGGATCATTTCACAGAGAAAAATGCAATTATGGAACACTAAAATTATTATGGTTTATCAAATTTTCACTGAGAAATAAACCAAGGACCCGTCGTGAGCATTCTGGGGTAAATCCAGACTTTTGACTTATTTGAAAGTAAATCGAAAATTGTTGGTATTTAATGGGTTAACAAAACCTAACTGTTTTCGTAGCGTGAACCGGTAAGATGGCGTTTTATCTCAATTTGTTGCAAATTGTGAGCAAATGTCTATTGATTTTTAAAGTTAATTTTTACAGAGATTATAACATTTACACTATATTTTACAATGAGCCGAATGACCATAGTTACCAGATAATGCTTCCACTTGATGTCAGTGGAGAATAACGGGTCCCTGTAGACAGGAATTTGGATTTGTCATTATCAATTTCCAGTGCACCCACCTCTGTCTTGCCTCATTCAGAGTTGAGATCTTCATAAATAAAGTTGGCATTTTTGTTGAGGGAGGAATGGTTAGAGAGGGAAAAGCAGCAGCTTTCACTTTCATTGAGGTGATGTGATAAAAAATCTTTAGTTACATCATCACGTTTGCAAGCAAACATTTTAATAATGAGAGTGCCATTTTAATTTGCACAATTTGTTTTCAAATTACATTTTACGGAATGGATACTGGGATTGCATATTAATACTATTAAATGACGCAATCAATTTGTTCAGGATTGTCTTCTTCCGTCTTTTTAAACTTCTGCTGTGTAAATTTTGATGTGTGATGTATTTCATTATATGGTGCAGATTGGTATTTGCCTACCAAGTCCATCTTATGTGATTATGTGGATAATACATTGGTTTTTAATATTTCAATATGGTTAGTGATCGTAGTCCAGTGAATTCTGCAATATTAATATGAATACATAGCTGCAAAACATATGCAACAAGTAGCAAATGAAATGACTTAACCTTGTTCGCAGTTTAATTTATTAAATAAGCAGCTAAAATTTCTGATGGTTTATTTATACCTCTATTCGAGAACAAGAAGTCATTTTTGCCTGAGAATTTTAGTCTTACCCGGAGTAAATTGGCTTTTATTTGGCCTTTATAACTGGGTAATAATAAAACTGAGAGCTTTGAAATGCCATTGTGCTGATAAGATTTTGCATGACACTTTGATATGCCAGGTGCAACCCCAAAGGTCAATATTTGAGGACCAGTGTTAAGATAAATACCCGGGAACATTGTGTGGAGCACGTTATTAAGTTAAATGTTGCAGGAAGAGAGGTGTAATTGTGTCCTCAAGTCAGAAGTTGCACCCAACTAAGATTAAATTTTTATAGCCCTTACCCATTCTTATGGAATTACTCTGCTGTTAATGTATCGTAATTGCATGCCACAAGTGAAGTCTTTTGCTTTTCTCCTTGTTAGCTGGGGTTGTAACTATTAGTGAATAATCCAATTGCAATGTTATGTTTAGTAGCT